CCCCAAAACCCCAAAACCCCAAAACCCCGATGGTAGAATATCATTAAAAAAACTTCGAATTATTAAATTTAGAATTAATCAATTGATAATTAGGTATATACAAATATCAATTAAACTTTATCCATCCTTCTTCAAAATAAATCTCTATCTTATTATTAGAACTTCTATTTTATAATTATAGATGCCATTTTTCCCATCATGCTTCAAAAATTAATACTTCTTGCAACAAGAATATTGCATTTCGGACACTCATGAAGTGTGACCCACGAAAATATTCTTTACTTAAGAGTCTAAAATGTTCTTGATACATTCTTACAAATATCTGAAGCGAGACATGCTGATATTACAATAACCAAAATGAAAATCAATGGTGTGAATACTAGCGTAAAAATGAGTAATAGAGATTTTAAAAGTATGTCAACGAACTTCCAGCTAGTTTTAACTTAAGTTTCAATTAGGTACTGGCAATTATTACATCTCATTTCTAATGATTCAATTTTATTATGAAGATCTAAAGGGACAAGTTCTTTTTTAATTTCTTAGAGCTAGTCTAATTAAGTTCCAGTTCCTTCAAAAGTTTTTGGGTAAATTTGAGTAGATTTACTTGAAATTCTTTTTAATGAATCATCATCTTCATTATGTTCTCGAATATTATCTAGACTTTATTCAGCTGATTCTCCTTTACTTGACTCTGATTGACATTCATCAATTTTTATTTGATAGATTTTTTCAAACAATCGCTTTCTTTCTGTTTCTATTGGTGGCAGAGTAAGTGGCCCAGGTTTTACAAGAGCGGCTATGTCAAAAGTCTAATCTTATATAATAGATTTATCAGAGTATTCTTGTTCTTCAGGTCTTATTTATGCAGACATTACTTTTGATGTTTACAACTTCTCTTAGAATTTAAAAATTCACTTCTATTCAATTATTTTTAATTATATAGTAATTAAAGATTTCATAACTTCGAATTTATTTTCACTGCAATTTATGGGGTTTTGGGGTTTTGGGGTTTTGGGG